TACTTAATGACTATTTTTGAGTAAAACTTTGTTTTTTACCTTTTCTTTCATAATCCATTATGCAGTTCTCTCAATGCAATCTGATGCACCGGCAGTTATTGATGCTGAAACCTTGTCATCAACTGGTTTGCTGGCATTAACGGAAGCAGGAAAGCCAAACTTGAACAATTCAAAAGCTGCACCTGAGAGACAGCAGTCTGATCAATCGGAAATGTTTGAGCCACCATCTTTCATGACGTTGGTTGAACCTATGCAGGTTAGCCCAAAAGCCACTGCTTCTGAAGTCCAGAGGGGACAGAATCCACAGCAATCAGATTCCACTTCACAGGCTGGTTGGTTTCCCACTATAAATCAGGTTGTTGGTGAGTCTCAAGAGAGGAAGAGGAATGAAGAAATAATAGCCAAGGTGACAAACTGGAGCACCAGTAAGGAGCACACACCTCTGAAGAGCCTCTTGGGTGAGGCTGCCCATAGCAACAAGCCAAAATCTCCAAAATCAGTTGAAAACTCAGGGGCTGAGAAGACTAGTAAAGTTTCGGAAAAGAATGGTTCTGGATTGACCACTGTTAACTCCATTCTGGGTCCTGAATCCCCTGCAGCCCAAGTGGTAAAAGGAGAGGTTGCAAAAGAATGGAACTCTCCAGCAAGATATCCTGCAGACATCAAGAGAGAAAAAAGGAAGGTCAAGAGCAGACCATATTGGATACAACTAGTATGCTGTACATCAGTGGGTCCTCAGAGAAGGTAGAAAATAACCAGGTGCTGATAATGCTCCTACACAGTTCTCCACTCTGATGTTCTGATGCATTCTGGGCACTGACATGCTATTTGCCGTATTTTTCTGTTTTTAGTTTGTCTTTAGGTGCATGTCTTGATCATGTGTCTTTTGTATATGTTGACCTTCAGTTATTATTTTTAGCCCTGCAATATTTTCGTTGTAACTGTACTCTTATTATGAGGCGAATCATTATTTTGGCCTTTGTCCGGAGACATGTATTCAGATCAGAAAATGTTGTCACTGTCTGATATCATGGTTGAGAATAACTTACAGTTGCTGCCTGTTCATTGGATTCTGGTTAAATCCTTTGGTAGTAGAGATCCCTAAGCAGACAGATGGGCTTAAATTGTGGGATAAAGTTTAGAAATCATGATTACAATTGAACCAAAAAATTCCAGACGTTGAAAATCCATTTCAAATTTGGTTATTTTATTTATTTATTATTTCAAAACTTTGGTTATAAGGTTTGATGTAACTGTATTTCAGTGATATTCTTGTAACTTGAGTGGTTAAGACTTTTTTTTTCAAATTACGAATGACAATGTTTTTCACCAAGTTCTTGAAATATTGATAGTATATAATATTTTAAAGGGTTAAATATGTTTTTAGTTTTTAAACTATCAAACGATTTTGTTTTTAGTTTCTCTTTCAAATTTAGGTACTTTTTAGTTCTTATCCTTTAGGAAAACATAATTTTTCGTCCTCAAAAACGAATGGCGTTAAGTAGAGGCTGAGCTGGCTAACGTCTGGTCACGTCTTCAGACAAATTTCCTTGCTAACTTTTGACATGTGTGATTGAATGTTTGATTACATGTCTTCAGAGAGATGAAACTGTGAAAGAAATTAGGGTTCTTGGGATTTATTTACGCGAATGAGATTTGCTTTCGCGATTGCTGTGGCTCGGGTGAAAGAAATTAGGATTTGTGTTCCATCGATTTGCTTTGGCGATTGTTGTGGCTCGAGTGGTCTAAAGGGTGAAGAGCAACGACGAGAAATAAGGTTCAAGAGTAGAAGGTTGGATTTCATCTTCTTCAGCATTGTTGTATTTGGTGATGTAAGTTCATTCTTCTCTTTCATTTGAACACGAACCCTATTGGATTTCATCTTCTTCAGCATTGTTGTATTTGGTGATGTAAGTTCATTCTTCTCTTTCGTCTGAACACGAACCCTAATTTTTTCAGTCGAGCCACAACAATCACGAAAGCAAATCTTATCGTGTAAATAAATCCCAAGAACCCTAATTTCTTTCACAACCTCATCTCCCTGAAGACATGTCATCAAACATCCAATCACACGTGTCAAAAGTTAGCAAGGAAATATGTCTGAAGATGTGGCCAGACATTAGCCAGCTCAACCTCTACTTAAAGCCGTTCGTTTTTTAGGATGAAAAATTATGTTTTCCTAAATGATACGGACTAAAAAGTACCTCATTTTGAAAGAGGGACTAAAAACAAAATCGCTTGATAGTGTAGGGACTAAAAACATATTTAACCCTATTTTAAAACAATTATAGATGTTTTAGCCTAAAATTTTATCTATTAAATACTTTTAAAGGATTTTTTTTACATCACTATTTTTGAAATGTACGGAGAGGTAGTATTTTTCAATTTTATTAGGGTGTTTTACCTTACATCTAGGGATGACAAAAAAATCCGCGAATACGGGTATCAGTACGTAAAATCCACAGCAAGTAAAATCCGCAACGGATAGTTATTATCCACGAGTAACAGGTAGTGAATATTTTAATATATGCTTCTAAATTGATCAGGTACGAGAAGTACACTATCTGACTCATGGGTATCCGTTACTCGCAAAAAATAATAAAAACAAATTAATTTATATATTTTTTAATTAAATTTAATTAAAAATAAAATAAAATAATATTTTATTATGTTAAATTTAATTAAAATTAAATTTTAATTTGTACTTAATTTAATTTATATTATATTATATATATTTTTTGTAATTTTATTTAAATTTTATTTTAAAAATGTATAAAATATTTTTTTATTTTATTTTTTTCGGGCATCCATAGGTTTTGAAATATCCACAGATATTGTCTAAGCGGGTATCTGCACATGTAGTGAGCGGGTTACGAGTCAGATTTTTACTTGCGGGTTGGGTTGCGCGTATGCACTATATGTGCTAGACTCGATCCTATGTCATCCCTACTTACATCTCTAACATCTAACCCTCAATCTCCAACTTTTTCGGAAATTCCATCGTTTACCTTCATATTTAATTTTATTTTTTTTCTTTCTTATTAAAGTTATTTTGTACCTCTAACAAATTTCGAAATTCGTATAAATTTTAAAATTCAATTCAAAAAATTTTTAAATTTTATTTTTAGATTGAAAATTTAGTAATAATCTAATTTAATTTAAATTTAACATTATTTAATATACTATTTATATCTTAATATTTATTAAAATATAATTAATATTATTATAACAATTATATTAAAGAAATAATAAAAAATAGTAATAATGAAAATAAAAAAATATTATAAAATGTAATATAATATATTTAAATATATTAAAATATTAAATTAAAGAATAATTAAACTCTAAATAAAAGTAAAAATTTTAAAAAGATTTGCTAATCGAATATCCAAGTCCGTTAATATATCTTTTAAAATGATAATAAATAATTTTTTTAAAATTTTTTCCTTTATTTAAAATTTAATAATTATTTAATTCAATTTAATACTTTAATATAGTTTCATATATTTAAATATATTAAATNTAGGGATGGCAACGGATCGGGTCGGGCACGGATAGTGCCTACCCGCAACCCGACCCGACAAAAAAAAATCCACCCGCTACCCGACCCGCTACCCGCACGGATATCCGCTTAAAAAATATCCGCGGATATTTTAAAACCCGCGGATATCCGTGGATACCCGTGGATATCCCATAAATATTTAAAAAAATATATTTTTATAAAATATTATAATAAAATTTAAATAAAATTACAAAAAATATATAAAATATAATATATATTAAATTAAATATAAATTAAAATTTAATTTTAATTATATTTAACTTTATAAAATATAAATCAATGTTAATTTTAATTAAATTTAACTTAATAAAATATAAATTAAATTTTTATTTTTATTTTTTGCGGGTAGCGGATATCCGTGGATACGGATAGTATAATACCCGCACCCGACCCGTTTATAAGCGGGTATTAAAAAACCCGCTACCCGCAACCGGCGGATAGTAAATATCCGCGGGTACCAACTATCCGTCGCGGATTTTATCCGCGGATATCCGCGGGCGCAGATTTTTTTGCCATCCCTAGAGAGAACAATGGAGTCTGTGAAGAGATGGGCCGACAAAAAGAACAGGGGGCTTGCAGTGTTTAGTACACTGGCAGAAGGAAGAGAGCGACGTGAAGTACTGAAAGACATTGAAAACCATTCCCTCAGGGCTTATGATTCAGGAGAAGTGGTAACCAGAATGCTGGACGAAGAATGGAAGACATTAGAGAAGGTTTTACCACCACCCGAACCTCCAGACATGAGTTGATGAGGAGCCATGAGATCAAGCTCCCTGTTTCCAACCTTGAGGACAAGGTTGTTTTGCAGCGGGGTGTAATGTTACGATATAAGGTAGGGGTAATAATAAGGGTTGGAAAGTATATGAGCAGAGAGAATATTTAGTATAAGTTAATTAGAGTAAATAAATATAGTATAAGTTAATTAGAGTAAATAATATATATTTAGGGAAATATTCAATATAAGATATTTATAATTAAGGATATATGCTAGGATAATATACGGAGAGATATTTATATTAAATATAGGGATATTTATATTAAATATTAAATATAAAGATATTTATATTAAATGCAGATATATTCTAGAGATATATTTAATAAGAGATGGGCGGGAAATAATTAATATAAATAAAGTTAGAGTCTAGGGTTAAGGACATGTTTTTTATTATTGAGTTTTGTGACAGACATTATTGTCTTGTGAGGGAGGTTATGCTCCCAAAGTAATTGAAGGAGGTTATGCTCCCAATTATTGTTTACCCTTGTTTATTCAGATATTACCATCAATAAAAGAGATTCATTCATCCATTATCATTAGTTTATTGTTCTATTACTTGTGTGAGAATTGTTCTATTACGTGTGTGTGTGTGAGAGTGTGAAAGGGTGTATTTGGCTAGTTTACGTACCTGAGTACGTAACAGATGCAGTGTTAAAGAGAAGTTATGTGTTGATTCAAGAATTTTTCTTTTTTTCTTTTTTGAAAGACTGACATATAAGACATCACAATGGAGCAATGACATCCCAACTAAGTTGTTCCCTTTTCTGGTCTTTCCTTTTCTTTCTTTGCTGTAGTTAGAGATTAAAGATCCGAGATTCAAACACAATAATTACCTTCGTCTCTGGAACTGTTTTTCCATATCTAATCTGACAGGAGTGAAAGTCCTTAATCTGCATCTAATTTCTCAGGACACAAATTGCGGTTCATACTTTAGGTGAAAAGATCGCATGTAGCAAATATTGTAGCATAGTTTATTAGAATGGAAGAGTTCTTCTACATAAACTAATAGACATGAAAGACACATACATACTGGCTATTATGCCTGTGTGCAATTGTCTAGATCTTTCATGCTTACAAAGATGCGTGCCTAGATCTTGTCTCGTGTTTTCCACCGATTATATTAATCTGTTGGTTTGGCGTCATCCATTTTCTCATCCTCATCCTTTGTAGGAATGTATTTTCCTTGTCAAAAGTCAAAAGCGGATCCATCTCTTTGGGTTAGTCCTTAGTTTGCGTTATCTGCATGAAGCACTAAAGCTAAAATACTTAATGACTATTTTTGAGTAAAACTTTGTTTTTTACCTTTTCTTTCATAATCCATTATGCAGTTCTCTCAATGCAATCTGATGCACCGGCAGTTATTGATGCTGAAACCTTGTCATCAACTGGTTTGCTGGCATTAACGGAAGCAGGAAAGCCAAACTTGAACAATTCAAAAGCTGCACCTGAGAGACAGCAGTCTGATCAATCGGAAATGTTTGAGCCACCATCTTTCATGACGTTGGTTGAACCTATGCAGGTTAGCCCAAAAGCCACTGCTTCTGAAGTCCAGAGGGGACAGAATCCACAGCAATCAGATTCCACTTCACAGGCTGGTTGGTTTCCCACTATAAATCAGGTTGTTGGTGAGTCTCAAGAGAGGAAGAGGAATGAAGAAATAATAGCCAAGGTGACAAACTGGAGCACCAGTAAGGAGCACACACCTCTGAAGAGCCTCTTGGGTGAGGCTGCCCATAGCAACAAGCCAAAATCTCCAAAATCAGTTGAAAACTCAGGGGCTGAGAAGACTAGTAAAGTTTCGGAAAAGAATGGTTCTGGATTGACCACTGTTAACTCCATTCTGGGTCCTGAATCCCCTGCAGCCCAAGTGGTAAAAGGAGAGGTTGCAAAAGAATGGAACTCTCCAGCAAGATATCCTGCAGACATCAAGAGAGAAAAAAGGAAGGTCAAGAGCAGACCATACTGGATACAACTAGTATGCTGTACATCAGTGGGTCCTCAGAGAAGGTAGAAAATAACCAGGTGCTGATAATGCTCCCACACAGTTCTCCACTCTGATGTTCTGATGCATTCTGGGCACTGACATGCTATTTGCCGTATTTTTCTGTTTTTAGTTTGTCTTTAGGTGCATGTCTTGATCATGTGTCTTTTGTATATGTTGACCTTCAGTTATTATTTTTAGCCCTGCAATATTTTCGTTGTAACTGTACTCTTATTATGAGGCGAATCATTATTTTGGCCTTTGTCCGGAGACATGTATTCAGATCAGAAAATGTTGTCACTGTCTGATATCATGGTTGAGAATAACTTACAGTTGCTGCCTGTTCATTGGATTCTGGTTAAATCCTTTGGTAGTAGAGATCCCTAAGCAGACAGATGGGCTTAAATTGTGGGATAAAGTTTAGAAATCATGATTACAATTGAACCAAAAAATTCCAGACGTTGAAAATCCATTTCAAATTTGGTTATTTTATTTATTTATTATTTCAAAACTTTGGTTATAAGGTTTGATGTAACTGTATTTCAGTGATATTCTTGTAACTTGAGTGGTTAAGACTTTTTTTTTCAAATTACGAATGACAATGTTTTTCACCAAGTTCTTGAAATATTGATAGTATATAATATTTTAAAGGGTTAAATATGTTTTTAGTCTTTAAACTATCAAACGATTTTGTTTTTAGTTTCTCTTTCAAATTTAGGTACTTTTTAGTTCTTATCCTTTAGGAAAACATAATTTTTCGTCCTCAAAAACGAATGGCGTTAAGTAGAGGCTGAGCTGGCTAACGTCTGGTCACGTCTTCAGACAAATTTCCTTGCTAACTTTTGACATGTGTGATTGAATGTTTGATTACATGTCTTCAGAGAGATGAAACTGTGAAAGAAATTAGGGTTCTTGGGATTTATTTACGCGAATGAGATTTGCTTTCGCGATTGCTGTGGCTCGGGTGAAAGAAATTAGGATTTGTGTTCCATCGATTTGCTTTGGCGATTGTTGTGGCTCGAGTGGTCTAAAGGGTGAAGAGCAACGACGAGAAATAAGGTTCAAGAGTAGAAGGTTGGATTTCATCTTCTTCAGCATTGTTGTATTTGGTGATGTAAGTTCATTCTTCTCTTTCATTTGAACACGAACCCTATTGGATTTCATCTTCTTCAGCATTGTTGTATTTGGTGATGTAAGTTCATTCTTCTCTTTCGTCTGAACACGAACCCTAATTTTTTCAGTCGAGCCACAACAATCACGAAAGCAAATCTTATCGTGTAAATAAATCCCAAGAACCCTAATTTCTTTCACAACCTCATCTCCCTGAAGACATGTCATCAAACATCCAATCACACGTGTCAAAAGTTAGCAAGGAAATATGTCTGAAGATGTGGCCAGACATTAGCCAGCTCAACCTCTACTTAAAGCCGTTCGTTTTTTAGGATGAAAAATTATGTTTTCCTAAATGATACGGACTAAAAAGTACCTCAATTTGAAAGAGGGACTAAAAACAAAATCGCTTGATAGTGTAGGGACTAAAAACATATTTAACCCTATTTTAAAACAATTATAGATGTTTTAGCCTAAAATTTTATCTATTAAATACTTTTAAAGGATTTTTTTTACATCACTATTTTTGAAATGTACGGAGAGGTAGTATTTTTCAATTTTATTAGGGTGTTTTACCTTACATCTAGGGATGACAAAAAAATCCGCGAATACGGGTATCAGTACGTAAAATCCACAGCAAGTAAAATCCGCAACGGATAGTTATTATCCACGAGTAACAGGTAGTGAATATTTTAATATATGCTTCTAAATTGATCAGGTACGAGAAGTACACTATCTGACTCATGGGTATCCGTTACTCGCAAAAAATAATAAAAACAAATTAATTTATATATTTTTTAATTAAATTTAATTAAAAATAAAATAAAATAATATTTTATTATGTTAAATTTAATTAAAATTAAATTTTAATTTGTACTTAATTTAATTTATATTATATTATATATATTTTTTGTAATTTTATTTAAATTTTATTTTAAAAATGTATAAAATATTTTTTTATTTTATTTTTTTCGGGCATCCATAGGTTTTGAAATATCCACAGATATTGTCTAAGCGGGTATCTGCACATGTAGTGAGCGGGTTACGAGTCAGATTTTTACTTGCGGGTTGGGTTGCGCGTATGCACTATATGTGCTAGACTCGATCCTATGTCATCCCTACTTACATCTCTAACATCTAACCCTCAATCTCCAACTTTTTCGGAAATTCCATCGTTTACCTTCATATTTAATTTTATTTTTTTTCTTTCTTATTAAAGTTATTTTGTACCTCTAACAAATTTCGAAATTCGTATAAATTTTAAAATTCAATTCAAAAAATTTTTAAATTTTATTTTTAGATTGAAAATTTAGTAATAATCTAATTTAATTTAAATTTAACATTATTTAATATACTATTTATATCTTAATATTTATTAAAATATAATTAATATTATTATAACAATTATATTAAAGAAATAATAAAAAATAGTAATAATGAAAATAAAAAAATATTATAAAATGTAATATAATATATTTAAATATATTAAAATATTAAATTAAAGAATAATTAAACTCTAAATAAAAGTAAAAATTTTAAAAAGATTTGCTAATCGAATATCCAAGTCCGTTAATATATCTTTTAAAATGATAATAAATAATTTTTTTAAAATTTTTTCCTTTATTTAAAATTTAATAATTATTTAATTCAATTTAATACTTTAATATAGTTTCATATATTTAAATATATTAAATCAAATTTTAAATTATCTTTTTTATTCTTATTTTTTTTTTATTATTCTAATTTTAGTTATTTTGAATTATAATTTTTTTAATAAATTATTATAAAAATATAAATTGTATTTTAAAAATTATTAAAATATAAAAATACTATAAATAATATTAAAATTTTAAATTAAATTTTAAATAAAAAATAAAGTTTTAAAAAAATTGTTTATCATATATCGAAATCCGTTATTGTATTTTAATAAGAACAAAGTTTTTCTAAAATTTAGTGTGATTTAAGTTTAATAATTATTTAATTTAATTTAATATTTTAATATAATTTAATATATTTAAATATATTAAATTAAATTTTATATTAATGTTATTTTTATTTATTTTATTTTTTATTTTAATTATTACTTTTTAATTTAATTGTATATTTATTTTTTAATATAACTATTATTATAATATAAATTATATTGTACTTATTATTAAAATATAAAAATGTATTAAAAATTTAATAAATTTAAAAAATTAGGAAATTTTAAATAAAACTAAAATTAAAAAAAAAATTGTCTACAACATTAACATATGTTATCGGTTTGGATATCCGATAAATAAATTTTTTTAAATCTTTTTGTTATTTAAATTTTATTAATTATTTAATATAATTCAATATTAATATAATTTAATATATTTAAATATTTTAAATTAGATTTTATATTATTAGTTTTTTTTATTATTATTACTTCTATTTTTAAATATAATTATTATAATAATAGAGATTATATTTTAATAATTTTTAAAATATAAACGTATATTAAATAATATTTAAATTTTAAATTTTAAATTTAAAAATGAAATTTAAAATTTTTATAAATTTGGAATTCAAAATCCGTATAGTTAAAGACGAAGGGATGTAGAATGATATAAATAAAAAGAAATTAAAAAGTATTTATTAAGATTAAAAATGAAATTTTTTACAATGTTAAAAGGTATAAGGTGAGATATTGGAGGTGCAAGGTGAGATACTTATTTTATTATTGTTAAAATAGAATGTTTAATTTATCACACCAAGTGGGGTGAAATGTAAAAATAAAATATTTTAAAAAAAATTTCACAAAAATGATGCCCTGATACTTTTCTTGAATCGCAAGATAAAAGATTTTCAATGCAGCGAAAATTTAATCGAATAATCGATTGAATAAAGAGAGTAGGAATGAGAAAATTCAAACACTGTGTTTTTATACTGGTTCGGCCAAGCTTACATCCAGTTTCCTTCCATCCATAGGAAGTCAATGTACTATAATGATCAAGGTTTTTACAACAAGGCTTTTATAGCGATCACACATCAAAAATATAAAACACCTCTCTAACCCTCTAATCAAAATATAGGCATTACACAACAAGACCAGCAACAAGAATCCCTTTTTCTGTTGTCTAAACCCTTTGAGACACTCTCAAAGTCAAGAACGCCGCACACTCTTCTTCCTGTAATCACAACAGGGAACTTCAAACCAATCTTCAAAAGATTGTAGAATCTGATCTCTCAATGACACCCAAATGTGCAAGTTGATCAGCCTATCTTACTCTTCAAGAAATCACAAGTAGTTGATCACCACGATCACTCTTGTTTCTTGGAGCTTTTCTTTTCTTTCTGTAAGATTACAGCTTTCTGCAAAAGATATGAAAATGTTAGAATCACAAAAGTTCTTACAAAAATCAAATCTACGTCAATTTATTGAATAACTCATCTCAGACACATTTTAATCGACTTAGTTACTAATGCATTCGAATACAACAATTTTGTTATAACAGTTAGAAGCAATCACGACAATTAATTGAATGCGCAATTAATGCAGTCGACTTTGGTCAACACACTACAAAATATGACCGTTAGACAATTATGTCAATCATTAACAGTATTTCAAAACAATAACTAACTTAATCGAATACAACGCGCATGCAATCGATTATGCAACAATGTTAAGCATAGTTTTGAAAAACTTTCTCTTTGAAAACTCTAACAGCACATTTGAAAATAGTTTGTGCAAGAAACAAGTTTTAATCGATTCACCCCATAATGAAGTCGACTTAAAACTGTTGTTTTGCCACACATTTAAAGTTTAACATAAGTGCTTGGTTTCCTTTTCAGCCAGTTGGCCAACCTGTATCTCCAAATTCCTTATGGCAGCTTATGTGCTTTTATCATTGGAGATAGACACTTGCATGAACTGTTGGAGTGGCTCTTCTAGCTTTGCAGTTCTGTCAGATAAGGAGGGTTTTTGTTGCCATTGTTGTTGTGGTAGCCTATTGAATTGTCCAGCTTGCCCTTAACCCATACTTGGGTGAGGTTTCTACCCTTGATTATAATTACTTGGACGAAATTGATTACCTTGACCCATAAACTTGACTTCCTCTTGGGTATCTTCTAGCATATCACATTGACCATTAATATGATCTCCACCACATAACTCACAAAGTTGTTGTTGAACTTGTGAAACATTCTTGATGGGAGTCGTGGCCCATACAAATTTGATGTGCAAATAAGAATGCAGTATAATACTAGGATTGACTCCTAGGTCGTCT